ATGCCAAGAGTGTGCAAAGCAGTAATCAGAGCAAAGGGTGGCTATTTTGAAGAAACTAGAATATAAAACATGTTTTCAGTTATTTCACCTTTTTTTGTTAAGTACATAACTCCACATGTGTTCATTCATAGTTTTGATGCCTTCAGTGAGAATCTACAATGTAAATAGTCATGAAAATAAAGAAAACGTATTGAATGAGAAGGTGTGTCCAAACTTTTGGCCTGTACTGTATATAGCCTACCTGTATCAAAATGTATAATTTTCAGCAGCGGTTTGTGTGACAGCTGCCACGGTCGGACGTATAACCAGCGGGGCAGCCGTTCTGTGGCGCTGGCTTGGGGTCCACTCTCCCCTGGTGGAGTGGAGGGTGGCCGGGTTGCCAGGGGCAGACGGCTCCATGTGATGGCGTTTCCTCTCTGGTTCTTCCATGCTCAGCCTTATTTTTATCTTATTATTTATTTATTTATTACTGGCGTTTGGATTCAGTTACGGCAGACGGATGGCAATCTGAAATGGAATGAAGCCCACAGACGGCGGACAGCAGCTACAAAACAGTAGTGTAACGCGCCCCATCCGCCCACAGCACAATGCTCTTAAAGCCCCACGCTATCAAAAGCTGGCAAAATACATTTATTTTATTTTATGGCCTTGACATTAACCTGTCATATTGTTGAGTTATCAAGGACACTTCCGCGTTTTTGTGTGTGTACAGGAATGTTAAAGTTATCATTGAGGAAAACGAGGTTGACGTGACGTGATTGAATCAGGGAATCCGTGTGTCCACCACGGGAGAGGACCCTAATTGACTTTACATTGGCATTGTTTTCGTGGTGGCAGCACGTAATTTCAACCCATTACGTGGTGCCACCACGGAATGCGGTGTTAATAGGTCGTGGTCATTTCAGATATTTCTGTGAGATCAGGTTGATTTTAACACAGGGAGGTGTACGGCGATTGATTCACTTCTGTAGCCAGCCACAAGCAGCCGTCCAAAGAACTGCAGTGTTTGGCACTTGCTTGTTGGCTTCATTCTCAGCTCCAGGAGAGTCCGCTTGCATATAACATGTGGAGTACCACAAGGGTCGATATTAGGACCCTAATTATCTCCTACTCATATTAATGATTTTTCTTAGTTTGTAAATCTCATTTTCCCAATTAGTTTGTTGCTATGTTACAAAAAACATATTGATTTTGTTCACAACAAAATTGACATCATCAGGGACTATCAACAAATCATGTTGAATCAGTGACTTTTTTATCACCTATTTTATTTCATGATTTATCCCTGTTTGATTTATGGTGATTATGTTTGGTCCAATACATACCCCTCCCAATAAGCCTCGTGTACTGCAAACAGATTACTTAAGGTCGCAGATTTGTGGGTTTGCATATAATTATATGTAGTTGCCACTTTGTCTCCCATCACTTTTTAGCAACTTTTTCAAATACAATTTTCAAGTTCACTGAATAAATTAATGAATGCAGGGCTCTCTGTCTCACCCCTATAAGAGGGAAATATTCTCCTTAACACACAGTGATTTGATCAAAGTGGTTTAATGCTATTTCAGTGACCTAAATTTAAAGTCGGAGTCAAAAGGGCCTGGCATGAAGTGAAAAATTAGTTGTGTAACTGCCCTGTGATTCAGATCCACTCCAAAACATAATGGGTTCTGCCCTCACCCACCTTTCCACCAAGTTTCATGAAAATCAGGCAAGTAGTTGTTCTGTAATCCTGCCGACAGACAGACAGACAAATAAACAAAAAAAGAGCAAACAGAACCAAAAACATGACCTCTATCGGAGGTAGAAGAGTTGACGTCCACACCCTGTCAGCTGTTTAATAACAATTTAATTACATATCAGTCAGACATTCTGTCATTCATCAGTCACAGCGGAGAGACAATATAAGCTTCTTCTGGTATTATCTGTGTAAGTGTCTCTTTTAATCTATTTTCTTAAAAAAAAAAAAGATTTTATTTGTTGTTGCAATGTATGGATTTTAGGGACAGAGTGTGAACCAGTGGTTACTGTGCAGATCTTTTATTTTCTTAAATTTGTTGTATCTAATAGAGTTTTAATTATATGTTGAACCAATTATCTACAGATAGTGAGCAACCTCAGTCTTGAAGCTGTGTTGTCACATTACACAGGCAATTTACTGATTGAATGATACTATGGGATAAAAACAAGCAGTCCGATATCCAAGCAGGAGCTTTACTGACATTGCAGGGCTGTAAACAAGACTGAAGACTGGTTCTGCGAATGGCTGCTGAGCACTCTGTCCTTTCCCCTCCTGAACTTGTGACATTTGTTTTGGCACATTTTTCTCTTCATTCTGATCCCTTAATTTCTGTTTTTTAGTTACATCAATTTGTTTTGATTTTGTGTCTTGTAATAAAACAATCTGATCTGTACTTCAATGATTCCAGATGCTGTTTGATCATTGATATCACTTTACCACCACCCCGACAAAGGTAAGTGAATGTATCATGTGACCAATAAAAAGAGGACACAAATATTACTGATGCAGTTGCTTGGGTTTGACTATGTGATGGAATAGTTGATTTTTCCTGCCAGTATTATCAACATGCTTTCAAACTGTCATAGCTGAAGCAGATATTAAAACTGTGCTGAGCAATAACCATCCTGCTATCCAACATTTTTTCCACAACACAAATCATTTGTGACAGTCGCAACTTGACTGTTTAATGGCTGCCTAAATGCAAAAAACACAAATGTTTCATCAAATGTTTCTATTTCTGCTTATCCATAGTGACAACATGTGCAAGCTGACTCTAACTGCAGGTAAGGAACGCTGGAAAACTAGATGTTTGTCTGCAGCTAATCCTGCAAACTGCTGGACCAATCAGCCTCATATTTTGTGTGCACGTTTATGACTGTATGCTGAGGGATTTCTTGTGTTAGCTGTGATTTATAAAAACCTGTTTTACTGACTTTTTATACCATTATAGCTGCTGACTCCTTACTCCTCTTAACTGGCAGGAAGGGGCAGCAAGTTTTCCTCATATGGTCTTGGCTTAAAACAACAACACTTGCCATTTGTTGCAGGACACATCTTCGCCTTCATCTTGGCCCCAGAGCTGACATTCATAGAACATTTTGGTCCTTTTTTTGATCCTTTTTGATTTTGATCCGCAGAATCTGCAGATTAATTCCACAATATAATGATCCACTGATGTTGGGCATGATGCAAGATGTATAAATCCCCATTTTTTGTTATCTAACCTGCCATCTTGACTGTAGGTGCAGCTCTCCACTGTGCGTGACTGCAACCTTGTTTTGTTCTGTCTGTTGCATACCACACTGGCAGTGTTTCAGAAGTGGAGTGTTTTGCCTATCTGATTTTGTAGAATCACAGATGTTGTTGATTAAATAATTTCTCCTTGATATTTGTGATTCTACCATAACTGAGTGAGTAGGCTATGAAGTTAAATGGTTTCTTTTGTTGTCTGTTTTAGTTGTGTTTATTGTTGTTATTGCCTACGTTGTTGTACTGTAGCCTACAGACAAAGTTAATACTGTCAAAAGTCCAGTTATGAACACAACAGTCACAGAATTGTGGCTGTGTTATAGTCATTAAATATACATTAATCCTCATAATAATCTAGTATCTATATTCCCCATATGTGCCTGCTTGTCAGCAGCCTGATCTCACTCTCAACTTGTCAAATAGCACACTTTGTCAGTGGATCTCGGCATCAAACAACGCACAGAGGCACCCTTCACGGTGGTATGATACACACCGGGTGGCGGCAGTTCCTGACACATTGGGCAACTATTGTAGTGTATAAAAGAGAAGGGTCAAACAAACATTGGACTTTCACCCAGGGGCCTGCTGTTCATTTCTGTGTGAAGCAAAGTCATAATTTCAATCACCACTAGTGATGTATGGCCCATGACATATGTCACATGACTTGGCATTATGTTCGTAATAACTGTACTTATTTTAAGCCAAACCATGATGTTTTTTTCTACACCTAACCACTTGCTTTTGTTGCTTAAACTGAACCACAAAGTTTAGTTGCCCAGGGTCCAAGGGAGTAGACCTAAAAACTAAGTGTTTTACTTGTGTTGTTAGTTTATTTAGAAAAGACTGTCTGCATGTAACGAGTGAAAGTGTACATGGAAATGGAAGAGTATTTTGAAAAGACAATGCATGTAATGAGCAGAAATTGACATGCCGTCCGTAAACTTCCAAAGCTGATGCAGGAGGGTACCTAATGTGTCATATTTTGATGTGTAGGTCTACTGACAGAGTGCTGGTATTTGATGAGTTGCAATGAGAACATGATGGCTCAGTGCCATGCTCCATGGCTCTGTCAAAAAAAAAAATGAAGTGTGTATTTTCATTAGTTTCTGTGATGATTCTGAAATGCCCAGCCGACTGCACCATACTAGGTGCACTTTTCTAGTTTATTTATTGGGGGGGCAGGAGAGGGGGCTATATATAGCTTATCCCAGCAGACACTGAGGGAGAGGTGGGGTACACCCTTGATAGGTTGCCAAACCATCACAGGGCTGACACATTGTGTCAGACACCTACAGGAAATTTAAAGTCACCAGTTAACCTAACTTGCATATCTTTGGACTGTGGGATGAAGCCTGAGAACCCATTTTTACACGGAGAGAACATGCAATCTCTACATACAAAGACACAAGCCGACCAGCAAGTTCAAACCTGAAACCCTTTTCCTGGGAGACAACAGTGCTAACCACTCCACTACCACACCGCCAAACTTCTACAAAAGTTATATTTTGTAATTTTGGTGAACTGACCTGTTAATGTTTTATTTTTGACCAAATACTGATAACAAATACTGTCACTTTGAAGGTCTCTGTTTGATCCTCACCAGCTTGGGTAAGTGTGTAACATCATGCATTATAAAAATCAACATAATCAACAATCTTATAGTAGATAAATAATGTCCCTAAGTCAAAAAATATTGGTAAACAAGAATCTTGTTATGACTGATGTCTTCAAAAACTAATTAATACCCATCAAGATTTTCCTCCATGTCCCAGCCTTTTCCTCAGCCTCTTCCCTCAGGCTGGTGTGTTACTATAACAGCTTGGCTGAAAGTAGACTGGAGGATGGGAGGTTTACTGTTTCAGATATTGATCCAAACAAGTGTACCCATCTGATCTACGCCTTTTCTGACATCAACAACCGACACATGCTGGTCCCAAGCAGAGCAACCGACATACAACGTTATCAGGCCTTTAACGGACTCAAAAACAGGTCAGTGATTGAGCCAAAACAGTGCATTCAGAACCCTTCACTTTTGTCCCCATTTTCTAATGTTGCAGCCTGATGCTAAAATCTTTATATACATTTTTCAAATCAATCTACACTTAATCCCACATAATGAAGAAGTGAAAATAGGATTTTAGAAACTTTAGCAAGTTTACAAAAAGACAAAAAACTGATATATCACATCCACATAAGCATTCAGACACACCAATCAGTACTTAGTTGAAATAACTTTGGCAGCAATTACAGACTCGAATCTTCTTATGTATTACACAACACGCTTTACAACACCTGGGGTTTCATTTATAACGACTGCATACACACACAAAAAAAAACTTGATGCAGAAATGTGTGTAAATTTCTGACCCTTGCATGTACACATTTTGGAGATGGGAAATTGCTGACACAGATGTGAGGTGGTGAGTTGAAGCCCGATTGTAGAAATCAAATGTGAGGTGTGTAGAAATCAAATGTGAGTATTACAGGTATGATGATGTCTCTCACACATTTATATTCACCTCATATCACGTTTTTTTTTTTTTTTTTTTACAGAACCCCTTTATTAATATTCAAATGCAGCAGTGTTATTTCTGCTTGTACTAGTGAGCTGTAACTTTTCCTAAGCACCTGTTGATTAAAAAAAATATAAGTAAACTCAAATCTCAAATCAAATACTGCTCAATATTTCATTAGTGCTGTCTTACCATCACATTCCCACCCAGTGCAGAGGAGAGGGTCGGGGCCGGACTGCTGAACCTTGCAGTCAGCTGTGTAGTTTCTTGATAATAAATGTGTATATACTGAGTCATTTTCACCTCAACCACATTAACCAGACATCAACTGATGAAATATCATCATCAGCTGAAGAAACCCAAGATGAGATCAAACAACATTCAATAATTGCAGCAGTATCAACAGTTTTCAGTACTGTCTCCTAATACTGTCCATATATCCAGGGGGGTAGCACCAAGTTCTGAGCTACATTTAGAGACAAATCCTAGTGCAAGGGTGAGCTAAACCATTCAAGAGGAGAGAGGAGCCTCAGAGTGCTTCCAATATTTCGTTTATACAAAGTTCTGTCTTTCAACCGATGTATTCTGCTGATTTTAATTTATTTATGGCACTAATTATACAGAAAACATTAAGTAAAAAAACCAAACTTTTTATTCCAGGTATTTAAAGGCCCCCCTTCCTAGACAGTTTTTGTGTGTAAAATCACTACAGGAAACATGCCTGGGGTTTCAGGCACACAGAGCACATGATTTTAGCATGAGGCTGCAACATTCAAAATGAGAAAAAACAAAGGGGTCTGAATACTTTCTGAATGCACTGTAAAAAGTTTGCTAATGATGTTGAATTTAGTGTTTTGTCAAAAATCATTACTGAACTTCTATATTCTCACAGAAATCCACTGCTTAAAACTATGTTGGCGGTTGGTGGCTCACACTTGAACACACAGAGGTAAGTTACTTGCAAAAACTTACTTTGCATCAGTGCGAACTCATGTAGTAGCACTTCAGCATGTACAGTACACATTTTCCTGACCATAAAACTTGTTTTGCTCATTCATGCTGTTAAATTTTGTGTGTGCCTTGCACAACATGCACAGTTTCATACAAATGAGGTAGCACAAGATGAGATGCTGGTATTTGATTACATAAATAAGTTTGTTTCAAGATTCCATCAGAACATGCAAACAACATCTGGCAATATTAAAGGTCCAGTGTGTAGGATTTACTGGTGTGCATCTACTGGCAGAAATGGTGTCTAAAATTTATGGCGCCTTGTTGCCTTTGGTTTATGATCACCTGAAAATAGATAGTCCTTAAATGCAGTTTGTGGAGTGTCGTCTTAAGAACACTGCTTTGTTTGAATGTTTAACAGATTCAGTGCAATGGTGGCAACACAACAAAACAGAGCAAAGTTTATCAGGTCTGCTATCACACTACTGAGAGTAAATGGTTTTGATGGGATAAACCTTGACTGGCGGTACCCTGGAGGAGCTGGAAGCCGACCACAGGACAAGCATAGATTCACACTGCTGTGCAAGGTCAAAATTTATCTTCTGGGACAGACACTGTCAGAAATATGCTGTTCTGTATATCCCATTAATGAAAATATTTGTGAGACTGAACTGTGCTTCTGTGTTGTATAGGAGCTCAAAGAGGCCTTTATGGCTGAGGGAACTGCAGATAACCGATTACTGGTCACTGCCAGTGTCTCTGCTGAGAAAGCAATCATCGATGCCAGTTATGAAGTCGCACAGATTGCAACGTAAAACTTCCTTGATGTAATTCTTGACATTATACCCGTGATTAGCTGCAGTCGTGTTTTGGTGAATGTGGTCTCCTCTGCATTTAATCAGGTACCTGGATTTCATTAATGTGCTGACATTTGACTTTCACGGCCCCTGGGAAAGTGTCACAGGACATCACAGCCCCTTATATCAGGGATCTCAGGACACTGGAAACAACATCTACGCTAACACTGTAAGAACAGGGATTTATATTCTAACAGTCTAAAAACCTTTGGAGATGACCGCTTACTCTAATTGTTCATTTTTCTCCACATTGCAGGACTATGCCATGCGGTACTGGCGGGACCAGGGAGCACCACCAGAAAAGATAAACATGGGGTTAGCAGCATACGGGCGAGTTTTTAACCTCTCCTCTGCATCCAGTGTTGTTGGAGCACCAGCCAATGGTGCCGGTATAGGAGGTCTCTTCACTGGTGAAGAAGGATTCTGGGCCTCTTATGAGGTAAAACTGCAAGCTATGAATTTCCATTAACCTGATCATAGGCTGTGCTGCTTTTACTGCATTTGGTTTGACACATTTCTGTGTATGTTAGCATGTTTCATCTAAATGGGTGATTTGACCTTTTTTCAGATTTGTCTTTATGTTGAATATGATGATATTCAGCCGATCTCTGATCAGAGCGTTCCATATGCCACCACAGGAAATCAATGGGCTGGATTTGATGACAAAGACAGCCTTGATACAAAGGTAATCATCAGTTTAATTCAAAGTATTGCCCAGTAAATACAATACAAATGACAGTGAATGGTTGAACAATCTGGTTAAATCGATGTTTTGCCAAACGTACGTCAGGGCTTTTTTCCTTGTCCTCTCAGACCAGTTACCTAAAGGCTAACAACTTTGGAGGAGCTTTCGTCTGGTCTCTGGACCTGGATGACACTAGTGGACAGTTCTGTAAACAGGGCAACAACCCTTTCATCAGCCACCTGCACACTCTCCTGTGTCCAGGTAATCAAAATCCAAAATGTTTCTATCCTATCCTGACATCCTGTGTGTTTGATTTAATTAGGTCAGCCTTAATGTAATCACCTGTTATTGACTTTATTATATTATATCATGCAGAGTGCAAATATCTGCTCTCTCTATGAAGAAATCTCAGCAGTCAAGCTCAGTGATATGAAAATACGATGTGTTGATCAAACAGAGTTAAAGAAAATAGAATTAACAAAATATCTGATTCTCGTTCTTTTAGGTTTTCCTGACCTTACAGCTACAACAAACACTGCCACAACTGAAGCTCCAACAACAGCAGCTCCAACAACAGCAGCTCCAACAACTGCCGCTCCCACAACAGCTGCTCCAACAACAGCAGCTCCCACAACAGCAGCTCCAACAACAGCCGCTCCAACAACAGCAGCTCCCACAACAGCAGCTCCAACAACAGCAGCTCCAACAACAGCAGCTCCCACAACAGCCGCTCCAACAACAGCCGCTCCAACAACAGCAGCTCCCACAACAGCTGCTCCCACAACAGCAGCTCCCACAACAGCAGCTCCAACAACAGCCGCTCCAACAACAGCCGCTCCCACAACAGCAGCTCCAACAACAGCAGCTCCCACAACAGCCGCTCCCACAACAGCAGCTCCAACAACAGCAGCTCCCACAACAGCCAATAATACAGATCCATGTAATGGACAGCAATTTGGGCACTTTCCTGACAGTACTGACCCAACCTATTTTTTCAACTGTGTCTTTGGGGAAGGCATCAGGCAAAAATGCCCAGCAGGGTTGACTTTTCAAGAATCTTGCGGCACATGTTGTCGCTAGAGAGTTGCAAATGATCATTTTACAGTCCATAAGAGTCAATGTTTATTCTTATTAAGAAAAGGGGGGCATTGTCCAAACCTCTAATATGTACAATTTCTTGTCTAAGTATGTTCTTGGTTTGTTTGTTTGTTTGTTTGTTTGTTTGTGTGTTTGTTTGTGCATCATTTGATTTGACATGCATTACTTAATATATGGTTGAGACATATGTAACTGTCGGTGTATTTAACTTCATTGTATGGGTGTGTTCTTATTTATATTTAGTTGAATATCACTTGAGGAAACATCAAAAGTTGCGGATTCAATTAACTCTTTCTGAGAAACTGTCTCATTCATTCATCTCAAACAGGTTAAACTACTGTAATGAACTTTTTGCACAATTACCAGAAGAATCAATGGAGAGGCTCCAGCTCATTTAAATCACAGCATCCAGAGTCCTTATTCATACACACAAAGATACCATTATTTAAACACTTCTCTGTCTCTGAGTGCAATACAGAATCTATTTTAAAATTCTATTCATAAATCTATCAGGCTCTTAATGGTTTCTGCTCTGCTCAGACGAGAACCGAATCAGATCTCTTAGGTCATTAAATCATGTTTTTCTGAATTCACCCAAAACAGGATCTAGACCGTTAACTTTGGTTCTGCTTTCTAAATAAAAAGGCTTGATGACTTCAGATGTCTGTGTTTGTGTTTGTAGTTTTGTTTCTGTTTTGGCAAAATTAGGGGTTAATTAATTGGTTTTCCCTTATATAATTTTTGTCTTTCATTTTGTGAGCACTGAATTTACTTGTATTTTCATTTTCTGCTTTACATGTTTCGATGGAGCACTGTCGCCTCACAGCAAGAGGGTTGCCGGTTCGATCCCGGGTGTGGGAGCCCTTCTGTGCGGAGTTTGCATGTTCTCCCCGTGTCAGCGTGGGTTCTCTCCGGGCACTCCGGCTTCCTCCCACAGTCCAAAGACATGCAGATTGGGGACTAGGTTAATTGATAACTCTAAATTGTCCGTAGGTGTGAATGTGACTGTGGTTGTTTGTGTCTATGTGTCAGCCCTGCGATAGTCTGGCGATCTGTCCAGGGTGTACCCTGCCTCTCGCCCAATGTCAGCTGGGATAGGCTCCAGCCCCCCCGCGACCCTCAAGAGGATGAAGCGGTTAGAAGATGAATGAATGAATGAATGTTTCGATGGTATATGTATTTTATTATGAAGCACAATGAATATACTTGAAAATGTTTGATAGGTAGGTGGGTGGGTAGGTAGGTAGGTAGGTAGATAGATAGATAGATAGATAGATAGATAGATAGATAGATAGATAGATAGATAGATAGATTTTTTAAGCACTGGGGAGGGATGTATTTTGAACTATTTTGGCTTTCAGGAGGGACATAGAACTTTAAATGGTTGCATTTTGTTTTTATTTAAAATACTCCCTGAACCCCAAAATCTGCCAGTGGGTTGGAAAAGCATCTTGACTTTGAAAGTTGAATAAATTGTATTGTTAGATTTTCAAATTTGATTGATAACTCACTCCCTTTGTGCTGTTTGCTTGTTGCATTGGTTGCAATGCCTACATTTGGTTTGATTAGAGAAAAATATGGTAATATATGGAGGAGGGAGGATCATGTGTTTCCCCCCAGTCACTCAGGGAGGCTTGAGGAAAAATATTTGTAACTTTGGTGAGGGTCACGATAAAAAAAAAATAAATAAATAAATAAAAATAGGTCACACCCCAACCACCCCATTCCTGTTATAAATAAAGAACAGTCCCTAACATACTGGTAACATCTTGAGCAAGACTCATTCAGTAGGACTTATTGTGACTTTAAGGATGCAATGTTGGATTGTTTCTGTCAGTCAAAGCAACTGCTAAATAACTGAATGTGCAGCCAACAGCAATGTGACTAGGGGAACTGAACAGTTAGGCCACAGTGATGCACTACAGTTCTTTTAGAGGACGATAAGACTTGACATTCAGCAGATGCCTTTTTCAAGAGCAATTAATATAAGTGCAGTGGAGTATGTACATCTCTATGATCTCCAACTTTACAAGCAACCAATTGAACAAGTGCAAAAGAGACAAAACAGTACCATTACAGCAGACACAACAACCAACCTGAAAGAAAAAGTATTCTCCTTTGTGTACTCTCTAACACTGCAGTCCAGGGAGACACAAATGAAATACGTAAGTTAACAATGAACGCATTGCTGGACCTGAAAGGATTTGTCACATGATTCACGGCATTTAGTCAAAGAATATAATTAGTCTTATGTGTCTTATGTGAGAATAAAATGACATATTAAATAATATATTTCAGTTTTTCAAAAAAAGAAATAAAAGCTGCCTTCCATGAATGCGTGAAGGGAAGCATCGCATGTATTGAAAAATTTGGACTTGTTTAGGAATCACCCATGTTCAATGATCTGACCCCAGTGACTGTCTGAATGGGTGTGGAAGACTTTCTTCTAAAATGTACACACATATCTTTAGGTTTGCTGACATTCAATTTGTGCACCAGGCCTTTAAGCTGTTTCAAAATCAAGTAAACAAGACTTTGAACAGCAACATCAACTCCTGTTTTGTTCCTCTATGCAGACAGCAGAGGACCCAGTGAGTCCTCCACAGACCAAATAAACTCTTTCTTGATTAGCTTTTTGAATCATTATCTGTGAAGTCAGGACCACAGGTACACAATCACAGATGCTCTTAGAGGACTTGTTCTCAGCCACTGGCACAATTATTAATTTGTTCAAAAGAACGCTTAAATATGAGACAGAAAATACAATGTTGTGGTTTGATGAAGTATATACGATGGAGTATAGCATCCAAGCGACTTTCTAAAGGAGCTGTACAGGACGTTCAGAGCATCATTATAACAAACAAGTTACTGTTGGTTATGTACAGATATAGTGAGGTAATGGTGTCCTGAGCGGAGAATGAAATGTGTGCTTTGTAATCTGAGCTTCTCTGTTTGTGGTTGTGGTAGATGGTCCACCAGCATGTGCATGCTAGTGCATGTGAGTCCCTGTGTGCGTGCCCCACTGTCTGGCTAATCACCACCGCTCTGCACTGTGCTCAAACCGCTTAAAATACCATCTCAACCCATGGTGTTGTCACTGAAGCATATCGCCCACCCTCTGGTCCCCCCACCCAGATTAACACCATTAGTTGTCAGCACTTTTGCCGTTGTTAGCTGTGTTTGCGGAGTTAGCTGCAAGCCGACAGCTTGTCCATCATGTTGAAAACCATGTGCAGACAATTTTCTCCTCACAAAATCACAAGAGAGGAAAACATGATAAAACAGTGTATTTTGGTCAGTGTGCCCGTCCAGTTAAAACAGTACACAAACCCAGCCAATGTTCAGAATACCCAGTACTGTTCAGTTCTGTTTGTCATGACAAAGTAAGAACAACAACATGTCAGATAGGTGTTTCTAACCCTGTTGGGTGTGTATCCTGTTTGTCTGTTTGGTTGTTATTTTTTCAATAAAACTGTGTCAGTACGTGACTTAATTGATGATTGTGCTAGTCATTAGATTTATTTATAACCACTGTGTAATTAGACACACCTTACACCACAATGCTCCTGTTGGTCATTTCCACAAATTATAGCTTTGTTATGTGCATGTATTGTTTCTTTAGTATTTAATAATTACTGTAATTATGTTGTTTTAATGGATGTCAGGGAACTACAGGTTTTGACTGTTCATGCCAGAGAAACTGTTGTTACTGATACTGATGTTAAAATGTTTTTTTTTTTTTGTTTTCTGCTGCATAGTTGATGGAGCTAACATAAATCTAGACTTGCTATATTATTGGCTACAAATATACCCCAGATGTAGGGCATCCTGATGGTCTAGGGATTTCAGATACTGAATAGAATAGAATAGAGTTTTATTGCCATTTGCACGAGTACATCACAGTACAGGTACATTGGAATTCTTGTGCGTGTCTCCGAGCACCAGTTAAAAACAAAAGACACAAAGGTCAATAAAGAAAACACAGTAAGTCACATAACAAACAAGTACCAAAAGCAAATAAATAATAGTAATAATACAGTGAATAAATAAAAGGCACATTATGAATATTGCACATTATTGTTGTAAGGGGTTATTGCACAATGTCCTGATGTGATGTATATAGTGTGAAAAAGATTATGAGGTTATGGCGTAGGATAACTTCTCCCCTCCCTCATGTCCTGTGCCACTAGTCTGGTAGTGGCTGGGAAGAAGCTCTTGTGAAAGCGAGCTGTGCGAGCACTGATGCTCCCTGGCCTGCGGTGTCTCAGGTTGTACCCCAAGTCCACCCACTGAAACAGGGCATGTGCTGGGTGGTGTCTGTCCCTCATAATGCTCTGTGCTTTCCTCCAGCACCGCTGTGTGTATATTGTTTCCATAGAAGGGAGACCGGAGCCAATAATCCTCTCTGCAGCTCTGATGACCCGTTGCATGGACTTCCTCTCAGCCAGGGTGGTGTTGCCATACCACACTGTGATGGCGGAGGTGAGGATGCTCTCCACAAGTCCTCTGTATGCTTGGGTGAGGGGCTAGCGTCTAAGTCCGGCTTTCTTTAGCACCCTGATGAAGTGCAGCCTCTGCTGAGCTTTTTTCACTGTGGTTACAGTGTGTTTGGCCCAGCTGAGGCTTTCTGTGATGTGCAGGCCTAAGAACCTGTAGCTGTCAGTTCGCTCCACCACGGTCCCTTGATGGTGAGTGGCTGCAGAGGGGGGGCTCGTCTCCTGAAGTCTATGATGAGTTCTTTTGTTTTGTCGACGTTGAGTACAAGATCGTTGTCCTCCCCCTAGACAGTGATGTTGTGAACCAGGTCTCTGTATGACTCGTCCCCCCGTCTGATGAGGCCAAGGATGGTCGTGTCGTCTGCATACTTAATAATAGTGTTATTGTCCTGGGTGGAGGCACAGTCATGTGTGTAAAGTGCAAAGAGTTTAGGGCTGAGGCAGCAGCCCTGGGGGGTTCCTGTGCTCACTGTGAGCTCTGTAGAGACCTTGTTTCGCATCATCACCACCTGTGGTCTGTCTGTGAGGAAGTCCAGGATCCAGTTGCGGGTGGGTGTTGGTATTCCTAGGTCTGCTAGCTTCACCGTGAGCTTCATCGGCCTGATCGTGTTCAAGGCGGAGATGTTATCCAGTAATAGGAGCCGTGCATATATATTGGCACCTTCCAGATGTTGCAGGATGTTGTGAAGTGCCAGGGCCACTGCGTCCTCTACTGATCTGTTTGAGCAGTAGGCAAACTGAAGAGGGTCCGTTGTGTTTGGAACCACAGAGTTGATGTGTTTTAAGACCAGCTTCTCCAGACACTTCATGACGACAGATGTGAGTGCCACGGGTCTGAAGTCATTCATTATGGAGATGTTCACTTTTTTGGGGACTGGCACAATAACAGAGGATTTAAAGACGCGGGGAACTGTTTCCTGTGAGAGAGATGAATTAAAAATGTCTGTGTATACCTCTGCCAGCTGTTCTGCACATACCCTCAGAACCCTCGGTGCCACCCAGTCTGGCCCCAGAGCTTTGCGGGGGTTCACCTGCCTCAGAGCCCTGAGCACCTGGGAGTGTGTCACCTGGAGTGGGGTCTCCTCTGGGTTGCAGGGGGCCTTTAGGGGGATGTCTCTGTTGTGCTGGTCGAATCTGGCAACGAAGCTGTTCAGATTGTCAGGTAGGGGGGCGTTCCGGATTACAGTTGTGTCTGCATCCTTCCTGTAGTTGATGACTGCTTTTATTCCTTGCCACATGCTCCTTGTGTTGTTTTCCCTGTAGCAGCTTTCAAGTCTTTGGGTGTATGTTCTCTTGGCAGCCTTGATGGTTCCCTTGAGCTCATATCAAGCCTGCCTGTACTGCCCGATATCTCCTGACTTGAAGGCTGCACACCGGTGCCTGACCTTATTGCATTTATCCGCGTTGAACCAGGGTTTCTGGTTGGGATATACACGGATAGTCCGGGATGGGATGCATATGGAGGTGCACCAGTCAATATAACTGTTCACAGTGTCTGCATGCATGAATATTGTCCGTGGCCTCCTTAAAAATGCTCATGTCTGTAGCATCCAGGCAGCCCTGCAGTTCTGCCAGTGCATCATCCGTCCACATATTTACAGTCCTGACTTTGACTGGGTCTGCTTTGAGCCTCTTGGTGTAGGTGGGCTGTAGCAGGATGACAAGGTGATCACCTTTCTCAAAATGTGGCTTGGAAACAGCAGTATAAGCATTTCTGATGTTGCTGTAACATTTATCGAGGATGTTGTTTCCCCTGGTGCGGAACTTGATAAACTGATGGTATTTGGGGATACTTTTCCGAAGATCACAATGGTTAAAGTCTCCTACAGCAACAATAGCAGGGCAGAGTCATATAGCTGCAGGGCGGACTGGTGGGCGGAGCCATACATCAGCAGGGTGAAGTCTTACAGCAGCAGGGCGGATTCATAGAGTGCCGAAGTCACGCCCCTTCCGGTAGAGCTCATGAAAAGATATGAATGGCAGTGAATGGGGAGAGCAATATTATCTTTTGTTCCCGTTTGAGTTGCGACATGAAATCTAAATATGTTGTTAATGAATTTAACACATAAATTTTAAGGGCAAGAAAGTCATACTTTGTGGTAAAACTGTTGAGATATAAGCTTTTGAAAAAAAAAACGTAATTAGAAAAACTACACAGGAGGCGGTCGCGTATGTGACGTCATAGCTTTCGCTCACTTCCTGCAGCTTGGAGTGACTGCAACCTGGCACAAAACACACAGACATCTTCAATCATAAATCGATTAATCATAAAACAGTGGAATTTCAACAGGGGGGCCAAGCTGCAGGAAGCGAGCGAAAGCTATGACGTCACATACGCGACCTCCTCCTGTGTACTCTTGAGTCTTTCTAATTAAACAGCTTATATCTCAACAGTTTTACCACAAAGTATGACTTTCTTGACCTTAAAATTTATGTTTTAAATTCATTAACGACATATTTGGATTTCATATCACAACTCAAATGGGACCAAAAGATAACATTTCTCTCCTCATTCACTGCCATTCATGTTTTTTCCGATCTAAGGTCCCATGAGCTTCACTGGAATGGGCGTGACTTCAGCACNAAAAATCACAAGAGAGGAAAACATGATAAAACAGTGTATTTTGGTCAGTGTGCCCGTCCAGTTAAAACAGTACACAAACCCAGCCAATGTTCAGAATACCCAGTACTGTTCAGTTCTGTTTGTCATGACAAAGTAAGAACAACAACATGTCAGATAGGTGTTTCTAACCCTGTTGGGTGTGTATCCTGTTTGTCTGTTTGGTTGTTATTTTTTCAATAAAACTGTGTCAGTACGTGACTTAATTGATGATTGTGCTAGTCATTAGATTTATTTATAACCACTGTGTAATTAGACACACCTTACACCACAATGCTCCTGTTGGTCATTTCCACAAATTATAGCTTTGTTATGTGCATGTATTGTTTCTTTAGTATTTAATAATTACTGTAATTATGTTGTTTTAATGGATGTCAGGGAACTACAGGTTTTGACTGTTCATGCCAGAGAAACTGTTGTTACTGATACTGATGTTAAAATGTTTTTTTTTTTTTGTTTTCTGCTGCATAGTTGATGGAGCTAACATAAATCTAGACTTGCTATATTATTGGCTACAAATATACCCCAGATGTAGGGCATCCTGATGGTCTAGGGATTTCAGATACTGAATAGAATAGAATAGAGTTTTATTGCCATTTGCACGAGTACATCACAGTACAGGTACATTGGAATTCTTGTGCGTGTCTCCGAGCACCAGTTAAAAACAAAAGACACAAAGGTCAATAAAGAAAACACAGTAAGTCACATAACAAACAAGTACCAAAAGCAAATAAATAATAGTAATAATACAGTGAATAAATAAAAGGCACATTATGAATATTGCACATTATTGTTGTNGTCACATAACAAACAAGTACCAAAAGCAAATAAATAATAGTAATAATACAGTGAATAAATAAAAGGCACATTATGAATATTGCACATTATTGTTGTAAGGGGTTATTGCACAATGTCCTGATGTGATGTATATAGTGTGAAAAAAGAGTTATTGCACATGGTACTTATGTAGTGTGTATAGTGTGAAAAGAGTTATGAGGTTATGACGCAAGATAACTTCTTCCCTCCCTAATGTCCTGTGCCACTAATCTGGTAGTGGCTGGGAAGAAGCTCTTGTGAAAGCGAGCTGTGCGAGCACTGATGCTCCCCGGCCTGCGGTGTCTCAGATTGTACCCCGAGTCCACCCACTGAAACAGGGCATGTGCTGGGTGGTGTCTGTCCCTCATAATGCTCTGCGCTTTCCTCCGGCACCGTTGTGTGTATATTGTCTCCATAGAAGGGAGACCGGAGCCAATAATCCTCTCTGCAACTCTGATGACCTGTGGCATGGCTTTCCTCTCAGCCAGGATGGTGTTGCCATACCACACTGTGATGGCGGAGGTGAGGATGCTCTCCACAAGTCCTCTGTATGCTTGGGTGAGGGGCTGGCGTCCAGGTCCGGCTGTCTTTAGCACTCTGATGAAGTGCAGCCTCTGCTGAGCTTTTTTCACTGTGGTTACAGTGGGTTTGGCCCAGCTGAGGCTGTCTGTGATGTGCAGGCCTAAGAACTTGAAGCTGTCACTTCGCTCCACCACGGTCCCCTTGATGGTGAGTGGCTGCAGAGGGTGGGCTCGTCTCCTGAAGTCTATGATGAGTTCTTTTGTTTTGTCGACGTTGAGTACAAAATCATTGTTCTCCCCGTAGACGGTGATCTTGTGAACCAGGTCTCTGTATGATGACTCGTCCCCCCATCTGATGAGGCCAAGGATGGTTGTGTTGTCTGCATACTTAATAACAGTGTTGTTGTCCTGGGTGGAAGTGCAATCATGTGTGTAAAGTGCAAAGAGTTTAGGGCTGAGGCAGCAGCCCTGTGGGGTTCCGGTACTCACTGTGAGCGCTGCAGAGACCTTGTTTCCCATCCTCACCACCTGTGGTCTGTCTGTGAGGAAGTCCAGGATCCAGTTGCGGGTGGGTGTTGATATTCCTAGGTCTGCTAGCTTCACCGTGAGCTTCATTGGCCTGATCGTGTTGAAGGTGGAGCTGTAATCCAGGAATAGAATAGGAATAGATACTGAAGTTGAAACTTTCCTGGTTTGAGTCTGGTAGGAGACCTTCGTTGCACATTACTTCTCCTCTGTGTGAATCTGTAGCCCACATCAATGCTACGACTGAGATGATGCATTGCAAGGGGTTTATCCTTAATAAACGTTGAACAACAACAATACTGATGATACTGATTTAAACACGGTGGTATCAAGCTCTTTCAGTGACCAAAATTTGAATGTAAAGTCAAAAGGGCCTGGCATGAGGTGACTTTTAACCACTGACCCAGTTTCAATCAGCATCCGATTGCTTTGGAAATTCTGACATTGCAGTAATTATCCACACCCTCGTGAACTGCCCCACCCTGTCAGCTGTGCACCTGATTTAAAGCAGCACATCCAGAGATCCACCAGTCATCAGTCACAGCAGAGAGACAGTATATGCTTCTTTCATCATGACTTTGTAAGTATCCCTTTAACTCTGATGTTATTAGACCATATTTTGCTTCTTTGTTTTTAATACTAAGAATTAGTTAGAGATGTGCTGTTTTCTGACATGAATTGTATTTTTGTGGCAACAGTTTATTAACAGAGTGAGGATTTGTTTTAAAATCATGGTGTGTTTTCAGAGACATATCAAACTTTTTTTGTCTATTTCCTCTGCTTATCCACACAGTGACAACATGTGCAGGCTCACTCTGACTGCAGGTAAGACACACTGCTCAAGTTTTGTTTCCTTAAAGAGTCAATTCACCCAAATCACAAAACCACACATTTTCTCACTTTCCTCCAGTGGTATCTAAGATATTCTTAAGCTTTGCTTACACATGTTATTGTCTCTCAGATTAATGACAGTGAATGGAATTTGGTTTGTGGTGCTGGCCAATGAAAAATTGCATTTAGAAAATGTACTGGTAACTAACTGTGGAGAATCCAGACAGTACACACCTGTTGTAATTTAAGCAAACTGACCTGTTAAGCTACGTTTTTCACCTAAATACTGACCAGTCTGTCACTTTCAAGGTCTCTGTTTGATCATGGCCAGCTTGGGTAAGTTTATAACATACATTATTAATAATTAACAATCAACAGCTTTACCAGCAGAAAAATAATTAACTCATTGTTGGTTAACAAGGACTTTAATAATGATGTCTCCAGAAACAAATTAAAACCATCATGATTTTCCTCCTGTCTCAGCCTCTCCCTCAGCCTCTCCCTCAGCCTCTACCCCAGCCTCTCCCTCAGCCTCTCCCTCAGCCTCTACCCCAGCCTCTCCCTCAGCCTCTCCCTCAGCCTCTCCCTCAGCCTCTTCCCACAGGCTGGTGTGTTACTACAACAGCTTGTCTGAAAAAAGAGGGAAGTTCACGGTTTCAAATATTGATCCAAACAAGTGTACCCACTTGATCTACGCCTTCTCTGACATTAACAAACAACACAGGCTGGTCCCGAGCACAGCAACTGACATACTACGCTATCAGGCCTTCAATGGACTCAAAACCAGGTCAGTGCTTCAGCCAAATCAGTGTATTCAGACCTTTTCACTTTTGTCCCCTTAGTCTATAAATATTGTGGAAGTGATGCTGAATTTCCTGTTTTATTAAATAATCATTACTGAACTATTTTGCTCCACAGAAATCCACTGCTTAAAACCCTGTTGGCTGTTGGTGGCCTGAACTTTAACACACAAAAGTGAGTTACTTACATGAACATTGAGGTCTTTTTTGTGTGTCATTGCAAAGACAAGTGTAAGCATCACTTCAACACGTTGGTATTTTCTGACCATGAAACTTCTTGTGTCCATATATTACACTATATGTGGTTTCATATAAATGAGGTAGCAGAGTGAATTGGTATTTAAGTACATAAATAAGTTAATTTCCTGATTCCATCAGCACACAAAATGTCAGTTTTTAGCAACAATATATTAATGCAAACACTGCAACATAGTTCAACAAGCAGGATTGTTGATATCTGATACCTTCATGACATCATGAGGAACCAACAACAGTCGCTGGAGAAGAATCACACAAATAATGTGCACATGAAGGGGTCAGTATTGTTAGTATCTGCAAACTCCAAATGAATTGGTGTTTTATTGAAAGATTTAACTTAAATTATTTTTTATTGTGGGTGACAACATTCCCTTTTTATTAACTCCTACTTTTAACAAATATTACTCCACTGAAACTCACAAAATGTGTTTCACATGTGTTAAACATGGTAACCTGACCATTTACTTATGGCTGTATGTTGGTCTTTGCTACATGACCTGGTGCTCTCAGCTGTGTGTCATCTTAAAAACACTGTTTTGTTTAAATGTTTACCAGATTCAGTGCAATGGTGGCAACACAACAAAACAGAGCAAAGTTTATCAGGTCTGCTATCACACTACTGAGAGCAAATGGTTTCGATGGGATAAACCTTGACTGGCGGTACCCTGGAGGAGCTGGAAGCCGACCACAGGACAAGCATAGATTCACACTGCTGTGCAAGGTCAAAATTTATCTTCTGGGACAGACACTGTCAGAAATATGCTGTACTGTATGAAAATATTACATTTTATATTTAACTGAAACTGAACTGTGCTTCTGTGTTGTATAGGAGCTCAAAGAGGCCTTTACGGCTGAGGGAACAGCAGATAACCGATTACTGATCACTGCCAGTGTCTCTGCTGAGAAAGCAATCATTGATGCCAGTTATGAAGTCGCACAGATTGCCAAGTAAAACTCACTGAATGCAAGTCCTAACATTATACCCATAATTAGCTGCAGTCATGTTTTGGTGAATGTTGTCTCCTCTGCATTTAATCAGGTACCTGGATTTCATTAATGTGCTGACATTTGACTTTCACGGACCCGGGAAAAGTGTCACAGGACATCACAGCCCCTTATATCAGGGATCCCAGGACACTGGAAACAACATCTACGCTAACACTGTAAGTACAGGAATTCACATTCTAACTGCCTAAATGCCTTTCCATTTAGAGATGTCATCTCATCCCAATTGTTTTTTCTTTCTCCTCATTGTAGGACTATGCCATGCGGTACTGGAAGGACCAGGGAGCACCGCCACAAAAGATAAACATGGGGTTAGCGGCATACGGGCGAGTTTTTAACCTCTCCTCTGCATCCAGTGTTGTTGGAGCACCAGCCAGTGGTGCCGGTATAGCAGGTCTCTTCACTGGTGAAGAAGGACTCTGGGCCTATTATGAGGTAAAACTGCAAGCTATGAATATAATTAATTCATATAAATAACCTCCTTGATTAAAAAAGTTGCAGAAGCAGCCATTAGCACATTTGCCCACAAATGATAGAAAACACTACCACTGCATATTCGTTAATCAGATTCTGTGAGTGTCTTTAACAAACAGCTCAAAAACACCTTTTTACTCTGACTGTCTCTGAGATCAAGAACCTCATCTGTTATCAGACTGCTTTACCCAGTTTGTGCCACTGCTCTATTTCATTCTGACCTGATGCTGATTCATTAGTCATATATTGATATCTTTTTATTGTATCTGGTTTTTGGTCTTTTAATATTTTAGTGCTTTACATCTTTTATCTTATCTTCAGGTTCTCATAACAACTGTGTGTATCTTACAGCTTTGTGTACGTCTTTATGCTTTTACAGTATGTTTTTCTTTTTGTCGCCCTCTCTGTGAAGAACTTTGAGCTGCATTTTATGTTTGAAAGATGCTATTTAAATAAAGTTTGTTGTTGTTGTTCTTATTATTATTATTATTATTATAATTTATATTAACTGCTATTACTATACTTTTATTTTTATATTAACCATTAACTCTAAATGTGACATTTGATTCTTGTCTTCAGACTTGCCTTTATCTTGAAAGAGTAGAAGTCCGGATGATCTCTGATCAGAGCGTTCCATACGCCACCACAGGAAATCAGTGGGTTGGATTTGACAACCACTACAGCCTTGAAGTTAAGGTAATCATCTGTTTCATTCATGCTAAAGTAATGCTCAGTAATTCCTAACATGACATCAGCGGTTAAAGTGTTTTGTTCATCATCCTCTCAGACCAGTTACCTAAAGGCTAATGACTTTGGAGGAGCTTTTGTCTGGTCTCTGGACCTGGATGACACTAGTGGACAGTTCTGTAAACAGGGCAACAACCCTTTCATCAGCCACCTGCACACTCTCCTGTGTCCAGGTAATCAAAATCCAAAATGTTTCTATCCTATCCTGACATCCTGTGTATTTGATTTAATTAGGTCAGCCTTAATGTAATCACCTGTTATTGACTTTATTATATTTTATCATGGTACCAGTGATATGAAAATATGATGTGTTGATCACACAGAGTCAAAGAATTAACAAAATATCTGATTCTTGTTTTTTTTAGGTTTTCCTGATCTTACAGCAGCTCCCACAACTGGAGCTCCCACAACAGTAGCTCCAACAACAGCCGTTCCCACAACATATGCTGTCACAACAGCAGCTAATACAGACCCATGTAACGGACAGCAATTTGGGCACTTTCCTGACAGTACTGACCCAACCTTTTTTTTCAACTGTGTCTTTGGGGAAGGCATCAGGCAAAAATGCCCAGCAGGGTTGACTTTTCAAGAATCTTGTGGCACATGTTGTTCTCCTGACCATATAGCCGCTCCCACAACAGCAGCTCCAACAACAGCAGCTCCCACAACAGCAGCTCCCACAACAGCAGCTCCCACAACTGTAGCTCCACTTAATACAGATCCATGTAATGGACAGCAATTTGGGCACTTCCCTGACAGTACTGACCCAACCTATTTTTTCAACTGTGTCTTTGGGGAAGGCATCAGGCAAAAATGCCCAGCAGGGTTGACTTTTCAAGAATCTTGCGGCACATGTTGTTCTCCTGACCATACAGCAGCTCCCACAACAGCAGCTCCCACAAC